TGCACACACACACACACACACACACACACACACACACACACACAGAGTTTCCCCCATCTCTCTCCTGCTTTCCCTCTGTGGCTGTTCTTTCACTGCTGGCCCCGTTCCCCGCCAGAAAGTGCGAGGGGGGCCCCTGCCAGGACAGCCCTCGGGAGAGGAAACAGGAGGGAGGGCCCTGCAGCCCGGCCAAAGATCCGGCCCCAGCCAAGGCCTGAGTGGCCAGGCCCCCGCCCCTGCGGCTGGGCCCCGGGCCCAGTGTGGGGAGACAGGCCAGCTGTCCCGTGCCTCTGCCCTTACCCCAGCCTTCCAGACTCCCTCAGCACTCCCAGACCTGGCAAGAGACAGCCCTGCCCAAAGCTGGGTTCAGGGGTGTTGGTGGATCTGGGGTCCAGGGCCCAGGCCAGTATCCGTAGAGGTCGAGGGCCTGTGGGCAGAATGGCCGGGAAGGTGAGATCATGTTGGCACTGCCCCGTGGGGCACCTGGGGAAAGGAAGGGGGACTCTGAGGCACTGCAGGGCTCCATTCTTTGTGGGCTAAGGTAACAGCCTCCTGCCTGAAGCTGGGGAGGGTGTGATGGGTCAGTCTGGGATCCATGTCTGCAGAGGCCAAGGGGCTGCGGGCAGAATAGCCTGGGAGTTAAGACTCTGTTGGTGTCATTCCCCAGGGCATCTGGGGACATGTGGGAGACTCTGACACATCACAGGGGCTCCATCTGTCATGGATCGAGGTGCAGCCCCATGCAGGCCTTTGGAGGCCACAGTGTGTGGTGAAAGTCAGGCTGGATCCCCGGGTGCCCTGCAGAGAACCAGGGGGCTGGGGAGCCCATCCAGACTGATAGGTGGCCCAGCCCCCCTTTATCACTTGGCCCCCACCTGTCCCAATGCTAAGCATCCCTAGCACCCAGACCAGACTCAGGAGCCCCCAGACTGCCAGTTGTCTCCCTGCCCCAGAACTCCCCGGGCTGACATTCCTTTGGTGGCCAGGAGGGGGCGGCCCTGAGCTAAAACAACAGGGACCAGCATTTCCAGGACTCGGGCAGTTCCCGCCTGACTGTGCGGTATGGGGACCCTGGGGATTGGGGGGATGGGGTGGGGTGGGAAACGGGGACGTAATGCCGCCTCACCCAAGTGGGGAAGAAATTTGGGAGCCAGAGGATAGGAGAGGGAAACTGGTACCTGCCCTCATCACAGCCTGTGAGGGGGAAAAGTCGAGGCCACGAGTTCTGAGAGCTTTTTCCCTGCACCCAGATGGAGAATGAGAGGAAGACACAGCCACAAGTCAGAGGAAAGGGGTTAAAGGACCCCTCCTCCAGCCAGGAGCACTGAAGCAGTCTGCAGGGCCTGCAGGGGCAGGCAGGAGTGCAGATGCCAAAGGCCAGGCACTGGACTCGGTAGGACCTAGGACTAAATTCTGGTTCTAGCACTTTCTAGCAGGTTAACCTCTCCGGAGAACTTCAGCTGCATCATCTGTCAAATGGTGATAGATATTCCCGCCTAGGAAGTTATTGCAAAGATGGATAAGATGTGGTCCTATATTTCTGTACTGTATCTGCAGACCCAAAATGCTCTGAACACTAGTCCTAGTCCTATAGTGCTACCGTAACTACATTAGTTCTGCAAGAACCACTCCTGTGTAGGTATTAGGCTTGGATCTATGCTGGGTCACCTTGGGACCCTGGGCCGTCCCTTCCTCTCCCTGGTCTCAGGCGGCAGCTGCTCCAAGAGTTTGGAAGGGCACGCATGCTAGCAGAACTGTCTTGAAGCTGTGCGTGCACAGCAAGTGTACAGCTCTTACTTCCTATGTGTGTTATTTGGTGGTGATCTGGGGGTGGCTCATGGAGATTATGAGCCCAAGCCAGCCCTTGTTGGTGTGGGTAGCAGTGCTCAGGGTTAGGGTCTGAGGCTCAGGGCCTGACTTGTGCCTGCTGGGGGAAGGGAGGGGAGGCGGAGGGGTGGGGTGCATCTGCGTGCCTGTCCCCTCCCGGGGAGAGGGGAGGAAGGGGGTGCTGGGGAGAAGCTGGGCCCCATTTCTCTCGGAGCAGTGACGTGGGCAGGAACCGGCTTTCAGACTTTCAAACCGCAGTCTGCTCAGTCTTTATTAATTCCAGGACTGGGAGAGAGGCTGGTGCCAGCGGGAGAGGGCTTGCTGTGGGGATCCAGGAGAGGTGTGGAGGGGCGCTTGCAGGGATAGACTCGAGGCTGCTGGGCCAGGCTGCTCCCCACAGGGCCAGAGCCCCATGTCCTGTCCCCTAGCTGCATCCCCCCTTCTCCTTAGCATCCTGTATTACAGGAGCTCCATGAACTCATATCCGACAAGGCTTCTGTACACCTCAAGAGGGGGCCTCAATTCAGAATCAAACCCAGTAGACTGATTATTCAGTGCAATTTAGCCCAGTGCATTCAACGCATAATGTAAGGACTGGGGGTTAGAATTTAGACCAACATTCATTCATTCAAGAACGCAACAGTCCTCAACTGCTCAGTGCCCACCTTCCTGCATAGCTGTACAGATTAAATAAGGTCATAAATGTCGAATTGCCTGGTGCACCAAGTGCTGGAGGAGCTTGGCTTTACTGTTGTCACTGACAAGCATTACCCACCCACTCGCTCCTGGGCATCCAGGTGAGTCACTGACAGGCTCTCCCTGTCCACCAGCATCTCCAGGTGTAGCCGTTTAGAAAAAGAGAGCCCCAGCCTCCACTCGGCTCTCAGCATGTCATTGCTTTGCTCAGAAACCCTCAGTTGCCTCTCAGATAAAGTCCAGACTTCTGAGTACGGCCTTCAAGGCCTTGCCTGACCCAACTCCACTGCTCTGCTGCCCTCCTTCCTTCTGGCTGGTGGAGCTGCTCCCCAGCAAACTGGACTTGTCCTGGAGGGCTAGGTGCTAGACCTTTGTTGCTGAGGTTCCCTGGTCTCAGCTTCCTCCAGGTCTGTGCCCCTCAGCATCCCTGCCCCTGGAACCTCTCTGATGGTTCTTGGGTTGAACTTGGTGCTTCATCTTATCCCCCACTGACCAGCCTGGCCATCACTGAAGGCAGTTTGAGGACAGACCCATTTCCGTCTCCCTCGTTGTCCAAGAGTATGGGATGACAAACACAGATGTGCATGCCAGGAGATGTGGGCAGAGTTCTGGTGGTATGGACAGAGCTCCAGAATCCCGGGAGATGTGGTTTCTGTTTTCTTCCTTGTCTCCACATGGTCCTTTTATCCGTTGAATGCAGGATGCGCTGTCTGCATTGGACCAGAGAGAGTAAGCGTGCACTGCTGGGCTAGGCTGGGAAGAGCTGGGTGTCATCCAGACCTGGGACCCCTACTGGGGTCCCTCCCAGTGAGGGGGCCACTGTTGTCAGTCATTTACACCTCTGTGTGGGTGAGTGTCCCTCCAGGTGGTCCCACAGGAAATAAGGTCCAGGTTATACCAATAGGGGAGACATGAATTTCTCATATGGACCCAAGTGAGATTTGTGAAGGAAATGCATGCTGGTTGGGGAGCGTAGGTTCCAGTGTAGACGCTCCAAGAGAGAATTAGCAGGAAGGCAGGGTGAAGGACCTCTGGCCCATCCCCTCTCATCCATGAGACACAGCTGCGGACATTAAGTCCGAGGTTTCCCCTCTGATTTTAAACTTTCTAGTAGCCACATAAAACGAAAGAAAACATAAGTAAAACTAATGTGAATAATAAGCTATGTTTAACCCAATATATCTAAAAGATTATCACTTGAACAGATAACAGATATAAAAAATTATTCATGATGTATTTTTGCATTCTTTTTTGTATTAAGTCTTAAAACTGGAGTGTAGCTTACACTCAGAGCACATCTCGATTTGGATTAGTCACATTTCAAGTGCTCAGTAAGCACATGTGGCCAGTGGCTGCAGGGTGGATGGTGCAGGGCGAGACCACAAGGGGTCTGGTGGGGATGAGCCCGACTTGGGACAAGCGAGGAGGGAATATCGAGGGTGGTTCCTGCTACTGAAAGGTTACAGGTGGGGCAGGGCATGAGGGTGAGGGACAGAGGGAAGAAGGGAAGTCCTTGAGGGCCTGCAGGGGGAGGCCTGAGGCGCACACACCACAGGGGAGAGGCCATCGTGCCGATGACAGAGCCAGAGGGGGCGGGAGGGGGCGGCCTCCTACTGAGGGGTACCAGGCAGCCTCGGCCCAGAGCCAACATTTCAGACAGCAGAGGAGAAAGGCCTTCTGCATCTCGGCCTCCCCAAAGGCGACTGGGCATTCCTCAGCAGACCTCATCGGAGGTAAAGTGTCTGTAGCTGAAAGAGATTGGATGCTGCAGATCTGGGCGACTCACGGAATCTCATTTCATCACACGGGATCAGCCCAAGGGTAGTACAAGGCTGTGCTCAGAGCGGGGTTTGGAAGTTGGGGAGTCAGGCTAGAATTTCTGCAACCCCCAGGCTGGGGT